GGGTGGGGACGACTGTAGGTGTTCGGGGTGAACGATCAAATTGGATCCTGTAGCCGTGGGTTATGACGGAGAGGACCCACTCGTCCGAAGTGACGTGACGCCAGGGACGGATGAAGGGAAACAGACGGGTTTGTGCTGACTCGGGGACAGGGAAGTCAAAAGCTCTGCTTGGATGACTTGGCCTGCTTGGAACGAGATGTTTGTGGGGTAGTACCAGCCTTCATTCTTTGGAAGGAGGACTTGTGTCTGGAGACTGACGGGACGACGGGACTCTCTGCCAAGAGCGGGACCAAGACCTCGGTTTAGCTGAATGCCGGGATGTAGAGGAGATCCCTAGAGACCGGGAGGCCTTAATACTCTTGGCGAGATCCTGCAACGAGGAATCCGTATTGGCATGGAAGAGGCCCAAGCCTTCGAAAGGCATATCCTCGACCAACAAGTGAGTGTCGAAGGGGAGAGATGTCGTTCTCAGCCACGAATGTTGTCTAAGCACCACCGCCGACGCCATGGTCTTTGAGGAGGCTTCCAGGACATGCTTGGTCGTTGACAACTGTTTAGCGACCACCATGCCTTCTTTCTGGAGCAGTTTTGCAGCATACAGCTTGTCCTCAGGGAGATGCACCAAGAGTTTGGACATCTGTTCCCACAAGGTGTACTGGTATCGACTCATACAGGCGAGATAGTTTGACGCCTTCACAGCCAACGCTCCCGTTGAATAGAAGTGGCGGCCAAAGGCATCCAACTTCTTGCCTTCCCTATTGGAAGGAGCGGAATGTCATTTTTCCGACTTGGACGATGAGGTGACGACTAAGGAGTTTGGTTGTGGATGGGAGAGGAGGAACTCTGCCGCAGTTCGCTGAATGCGGTACATATGGTCTAACTTTTTTGTAGAGACGGGGCGGACGACGGTTTGTGCCAAGGGGTTTTTGCGGCTTGTAGCAAGACTGACGACATTGGAAAGTCGACGACTGAGGTGTCTAGTTGGACGATATCATAGAGATAATCCGTAGATTGAGAATCCGTTTGAACAATTGACAATCGCAATGCGTGGGCCATACGTTTTATGAGGTCGGTGTATGACGACAAGTTATCCGACGGGGATATTGGGAGGTTCTGAAACACGTCGGTATTGGGAGACGAATTATCCGGCAACGTTGGGGCTTCGGAAGGCTCGGTATCGGAACCAGATTCCGAAGGCTTTGAAGACTCAAGTTCCCCAGCCGGGGCAGGTTGACGAGGAGATGGAGCAGGCGGCTGGATTGGTGCAGCCGGTGTATGCTCCAAATGTTTCCGAGGAGGAGGTTGGACGGAAGATGTTCCCGACAGTGGAACATTGTCCGGTTGAGGAGGACGAGAGACCATAGCAGATGGTCTAGATCACCTCGGAGAACGAGACCTGTGGGAAGATCGACAGGAGTATCTGTCCCAGTCAGTGTATCCCGTATGGCCGAGCCAAGGCATAGGAGGATGGTAAGGACCGTACAGGTAATGGAACTGCCTTTCATCCCAAGACATCCGAGGCGGCATATACAACCTCGGGGAGCGGCTCCTCGACTTTGGACGACGTAGGGAAAAATTTGACGGAAGAGCATATGTGCCTCTTCTACAGTCAAAGGCATCGATATCGACAGACTCAGGCGACAAACGGGAAGACCGATGCTCTGCACTGGATCTTGAGCGTCGATGCCGACGGCCATCGCTGTCGGGCAGCTCTGAGACGATCAAAGCCGACGAGCTCGTTGGACCAGGGGAAGACTCTGCACCCAGCTGATGACTTACGAGTTCCATTTGGTCGATATCGTACAAGGCTGTCTCCACCTGCCGGTCTGGAGAGTCTAGCACAAGTACCGTAGTCTCAGACACGACCTGGTTCACCGGTATCGATGCAATCGGTGTCGAACCAGTCGGTATCGACGGCATCGATGGTGGCGGAAGGGCTGGAGCTGCTGGCACAGAGTCCTTCTTAGCAGTGGATCTTGAGCGTCGATGCCGTCGGCCGTCGGTGTCAGGTGGCTCTGAGACGATCGAAGCCAACGATCTCGTTGGACCAGGGGAAAACTCCGCACCCATCTGGTGACTTACGAGCTCCATTTGGTCGACATCGGACAAGGCTGTCTCCACCTGCCGGTCTGGAGAGTCTAGCACAAGTACCGTAGTCTCAGACACGACCTGGTTCACCGGTATCGATGCAATCGGTGTCGAACCAGTCGGTATCGACGG